ATGACCTCACTACATTCTTAAGATGTGAGCTACATATTTATATGAATTTAAATTGCTTATATCTGATCATTCTAATGATTCTGAAATAGTAAGATAGAAGAAAGAAAGTGGTACCAATGCTGGTAGCAAAACTTTGGCTTTCATCTTGAAAAGATGTCAAAGTGTTATATAATGCTAGAGTAGATTTAGAAAATGTTAGGTCAATGGAGGAGATTAGTCTTCTGAATGAGTACTAGCAAATGCATGGAGACAACCTTTAATTCTGCTAAATTTGAAGCCATATCAGATTTTTTTTATATCCCATGAAATAGGTATTGCTTTCTTTGCATTCAACTCAAAGTAAAGGCCCTTTTCCTAGAAATACAAAGTTCCAAAGTTGGAAAAAGTCTATTTGAGACTATCTAGTCTACCCTATGAAAGCAAAAACTTCACTGAACAATGTCAAACAGGCAAGGAAAATTTTATTTAAAGCTACTGCAATAGAGGAGAGTACCCAGAAGGTAGTATGAACTCAATTCCATTGATACAAAAGGCAGAAGAGTTTTTAGTGTTTGCTAATTGATTTTACCCAAAGGAAGAGTAAACTTTCTTATATATTTGTGACAGGTGAGAGTTTTTAAACTTGGAGCAAGTCATCCACCTAAGTTAGGCTCCTATTCTCTATATTCTTGATGATTACAATTCAAAGGGATGGCTTCCTGGTCCTTGAGAAAGATATTCTTGGGTTGCAAAACTGGCAAGAAGCCTTTAAAAAGATTTACATTTCAAGGGAGCGGAGAAAGTATTTACAATTACAAGTTTTCTAAAGTACATGTTCTAAGACAAGGAAATGGAGGGATCTCTGTGGTCAGGACACCTGGATTTCCTAAGAGCTAGAGTGACAGTATCCTCATAAGTGAATGGAACATACTATATATTCAGCACAGAATTAGTCAAAAAATGTATAAATAAATTGATAAGTAAAACAATATGTACATGAAAAAGTAGGCTCAAACCAAAACCCCTAGTTTAGTACTGCGGGGGACAAAGTGGACTTTAAAATATAGTATTTCAAAGTTCAAGAAAGAAATCAAATTATTTGCTAGAGTTATGAAATCAGATTGGAAAATTACCTTTAATAGTCCCTGAACTTTAGCAAGATCACATGTAAACAATTCTAGAACAGGAGTTTCTGCTCTTTTAAAAATAATTCAAAGAAAGGATTTTCAAAATGTCCTTCATAATCTACTTCTCAATTCATAGATGCTATTTCCCAGTAAATTAAACTTTAATTTAATTTTTTCATGCTGGAGATTAAAACCCTTTCCTTTATGCTCATGACATACATTGAGCTAACAATAGCTAATAATCTATAGTTAGAAAAATTCAGATTTGAAACAAATCTTTTTATCCCCAAGGTAACTGAAAAGATAGAAATGGTAAGTTTTTTCTAAGCTTGCACAGTAAATTATGAAGAGAGATGGTTGAATGCAGGTGTGCTAGTCCACTAACATAATTTTTTACTCTTCTCTCAGAGCCTTTCCCAGAGTTCAGTCAGACAATATGAAGCAGATGAAAAGCAAGGTCAAAGACTAATAATTCTGACTGTATCCTATCCTAAGTGTTCCTGCGAGTTAACTAGAAGAACTAAAAAAACCAAAATCCATTATTATTTGAAACAAAACTACCCAGCATGTATAACATATCAGCTCCCTTAGCTACCACAATCCGTTAATCAGCAAAGAAGCTAATGTTAGGTTGTCCCTGGTTTCTTTAGTAGGTATTTAAATATTAGGTGACTCCTAATTTTATTTTAGCTGAAAATTAATATAAGTAATATTAATATATTAAAATTAATTTACATTTTCAAAGTACGATTATAAAACTATACAATTATTAAAAGAAGATCCTCAAGTATTGTCTAATACCTGCATATAATATTAGATACATTACATTATATATATTTAAAATCTTGAAGACTTCTAATACTTATGTGTTAATGGTTTTATAGTCATACTTTAGAATGCCTTTGAAACTTATTTACATGGCAATGCCACTGTTACATATGTAGCGTGGATTCCATAGGATGAAGGTCCTATGACTCTACTGTGGTAGAAATAAAAAATAACTAACTTGAAATAATTCCATAGTTCTTGAATAGGACTAAGCTTGTGATAAAAATGAACAAATAATATTTACAAGTATAAATAAAAATGATTTAGGCAGGCATTGAAGTACACATCCATTCTTAAGCTGTGATTCTTTTGTGTGTTTCTATGGAGGAATAATTTGAACAACTGGAAAATTCCTTAGTTTCCTCAAAAAGCCCATCTCACGGTATTTTTTGACAACTAATAAGCATTACTCTTTCATCATGTGGACATTTTTTTTGAAAGGGGTTAGGTAAACCCTAAAGGCAAAAATAAGCTTTTTTGTACAGCTATCTTATTCCTAAGGAGATAAATGGAGAACTATTAGACATGAAAAAGCCTGTAAATTCATGATTTACTCAATTGAAGCCAAAGTATCACAGTTGTAGTAGGGGCTTGAGAGAGTATTAAAAAGATTCTACGGCATTTTGAAAAGTTCTTTGAATTATTCAGAATAGGCTTGTCTGTGCCGCAGAAAGTAAAAGAAGACCAAGCCCTAATGCTTTCATAAAACAAAGATTTTTTATCCTCACTCCTGTAAAATCAAATGAACTTTGGCTAGCCCTTCCCTGTCTTGCAGCCAGGCCATCTGGAGCACATGGACTCCAAGGTCACTGTAGTAGAATAAGAGGAAGTCATAAGACTGCAGAGAATGCTTTTAGTTGCCAGGTCTGGAAGTGGTACTCTTCACTTCTCCCATAATCTCAATGGCTGGAACTCAGTCCCTGGCTCAACCTTCCTGGAAAAGAAGTTAGGAAATATAATATTTCTATATAATATTATATTATAATAATATAATTTCTATATAATATTATAATATAATATTTCTATATAATATTTCTATATTTCTACCATAATCTCCCAGTCATAGTCTTTTCTAACTTCACCACCCAAATTGTGTTGCAAAATCAGCATTCACTAAGTGTTTATTGCATTTATGTAAAGATGTTCAGTACCTTGACATGAAATGTAATTATTTACAGTAGTTACAATAATTGAATGTATTCTATTGATTGATTGATTGATTGAGTCAGAGTCTCACTCTATTACCCAGGCTGAAGTGCAGTGCAGTGGCAGAGCCAGTAGAGTGGCTCATTGCAACCTTTACTTCCAGAGCTTAAGCGATTTTCCTGTCTCAGCTTGCAGAGTAGCTGAGATTACAGGCGCGTGCCACTGCGCCTGGCTAATTTTTGTATTTTTAGTAGAGACGGGGTTTCACCATGTTGGCCAGGCTCATCTAGAACTTCTGGCCTCAGTTGTTCCACCCACCTTGGCTTCCCAACGTGTTGGGATTACAGGTATGAGCCACCATGCCCGGTCTATTCTATCTATTTATATAGTATTAATTTTTCCAGCACTGCTACCAAAGTGTCTTAAATCACACTCTTTCTTATAAATATCAGGTTCTCCAATAAGGTATTGAAAATATTGAGTTGCATTCAATTCATAGCTAAATTCAAGGATGAATACTATAAAAATCAATATCTTGGGTTATTATTTATAGATAAATTAATGTATATCTACCAAATATGCAACTAATTGGGAGTTATACCTGATGTAAATGACGAGTTGATGGGTGCAGCACAGCAACATGGCACAAGTATACATATGTAACAAACCTGCACGTTATGCACTTGTACCCTACAACTTAAAGTATAATAATAATAAATAAATTAAAAAAAAAAACAAAAAAAACAAAAAAAACAAAACAAACAAAACAAACAAACAAACAAAAAAAAGAATGGCATGCTCTTATGAGGGTTATACTAACTCTAACAGCAGCCCGTCACATTCTGTCATGCTTCCATTTTCCATATAGGAATCATTTCCAGTTATAAGTTCTAGTGAGTAGGTTCCAAGAATACAATTTCTGGACATATGAAGTACAATCTGTTTAAAAAATATAATGAATGCCCTCTGGAATAAAAGTATTAATCTTGCATTTAAAAGGCATTCTTTAGGGACAGATAACTCATGTAGATAAACTTGTAAATACTTTATTTTCTTCCTTTGTACCTAGTTCCAGAAATCACTTACAATGAGGCCTGCATAGGTAGTTCAAGTCCAGAATCTCTTACTAAATACTGTTGGGGACAGATGTAATTGGCAATTCCTAATTTTTACTATTTTTTTTTGTTATTGGAGGAGGTAGGGAATTTCCAATTCTATATGTCTATTCTATGAATCTGTCACATATCCTATTTTCTTTTGCCTTTTACTCACATGTCAAACTCTGGATGTTTGCAGGTATTATTAAGCATAAGTACTTGTATTATTTGGTAAATAGTCAAGGAGAAATTTTGTGCTGCTTTGGGAGTAAGTTCAAAGATAGCAGGGACCATCATGTTGCAGACTCTTAGTAAAACAGCCTTCTCTTTTAGTAAAAGTTGCCTTTTCCATGTTATTTCCATTGTGTCTCACAATGCAGTACAAATACGGCATGAGGGTCTATTCAATTTTTCTCTTAACTCAAGCTGCATGAAATGCACAGTGACGTTAGAATATTAAAAACTCTCAATGGCATTCTTCTCTTAGAATTTGGATTCAGTAGGTGGATCTAAAATACACCACATGGGCTTAATTATTAGTTTGAATGACGTCCAATGTGCATGCTGTGGTTTCCTAGATTCCAGATCCAATTGCTATGAGAATATCTCCCTCTTTATTCTCTGCTTCTTCATGCATGCATGCATGCTTTGACAGGCATCATGGGAATCACCAAGGCAGCAGATGGTCTATGCACAATTCCCTCAAGCATAAAACAACATTTCTGTACTTGTCGTTGGGACCTTAAATTGCACACTGTTCTATCTGATTATTTTCAAATTCTGGATTTGTTGCAGGGACTCAAAACAACTTGCATGAAAGAATTGAGACAACAAGATGAATTAGAGGAGCAGGTATTTAGATTGAAACTAAATCTTATGTAAAAGTCACTAACACTGTTTTTTGTTGTTGTTGTTGTTGATCATTGATGTTATTTTTTTGTGACCTCTGAAAATATCAGGCAGTGCTTGGGGTGTGCATCTTTATTCAACCAAATAAATAAATACTAGAGTTTTTTTTTTTCCCTGAAATGGAACAATATGCCAATGTGCAAATGTTTACTTTTTAATCTTTAATTGCATGTAATTCATAGAGATAACAGCAAAGGTAATAAAAATAGATACAAAACCATAATATACTAAATTGATACTTAATATACTTATCACAGTAATCTGTTATGAGTTTTTTTATACACAAATTTTTTATGAGAGTTATTTCTACCAGATGTTGAGATAGTGGAAAGTAAGATTTGTGGATGTTTGAAGAGCTTTGTATTCAAAGAAAATAGTCCAGAAAGATTTCAAAGAAAGATATACAAACCTACTGGGCTTAAACAGATTTTTTAATTTGGATTTTCTACTTTGCTCTCAATTTCTAGGCTTTAACATCTCACTCTCTCAAGGTACTTTAAAATGGGGTAATGTGTTAAACATTTAAAGAAATTAGAAATTTGGCTCCAGCAAAGAAATTGTTTCCAGGGGAAAAGAAAGTTGTAAAGAAAATGCTTTAGAAAGGAGGGTAACAGTATGTAATGAGAATGGGACAAGTGAACACTGGAGTTCTCATTACCACATGAATTTTAATCCTGACCTGAATTGCTCTTTTCTAAGCATAAGTCCATACTCCATCAAAGGACTTGGTTTTCTGAGTCATCACCCCCTCACTGTTGCATGTGGGAATCACACAGTAAAACACGTGATTTTGTGAGTCTTTATAGAGTTCTTCACAATACTGGGATTAGTTTCAAACTTTTTACATTTCACAAGGATTGTGATGGAAGCAAAGATTTTCAATTTAAATGGTTAGGTTTCAGTTTGACTACTAATTGGGATAGTTCACATAAAAGTTGGTGAATGGACATTAGGTCAGAGTACAATAAGATTTGGGGGAATATGAAAATCGTAATTCTCCAAAGTCTTGATAATATCTAGTGTTTAACTTCTGCCAACTACTTTTTATATATTCTTCTGTCTTTGTTTATTTTCGACCATATTGTGGATCAGGGGTGGTGGTTGCTAAATCTATTGACTCTTCCTCTCATAAAGTATTTCCCTCTAGCATGCAATGCTGTTTGACAGCATTTTACTTACAGTAGAACTTTCAAAATTGGAGTCAATCCTCTCAAATCCTGCCACTGCTTTATCAACTAAGTTTATGTAATATTCTAAATCTTTTGTTGTTATTTCAATAATGTTCCCAGCATCTTCACCAGGAATAGATTCCATCTCAATAAATTACTTTATGCATCCATAAGAAGCAACTCCCTATCTGTCAAGTTTTATAGTTTCTCCTCTGAACTTTTAAACCACCCTGTGTCATTTGTGAGGGTTGGAGTCAACTTCTTCCAAACTCCTGTTAGTGTTGATATGTTTACCTCCTCCCATGAATCAGAAATTTTCTTAATGTCATCTAGAATGGTGAACCATTTTTAGAAGGCTTTCAATTTACCTTCCCCAGATCTATCAGAAAAATCACTGTCTGTGGCAACTATAGCCTTATGGGGGATAGTTCTTACATAGTAAGACTTCAGAGTTAAAATTACTTGATCTATAGGTTTAGAATGGATGCTGTGTTAGCAGGCATGAAAACTACGTTTATCTCCTTTGTGCATCTCCATCAGAGCTCTTGGGTGACCAGGTGCATTGTCATTGGAAGTAATATTTTGAAAGGATTTTTTTTTTTTAATCTGAAAAGTAGGACTCTATGGTGGGATTAAAATATTCAGTAAACTATGTTGTAAACACATATTCTGTCATTTAGGATTTGTTGTTCCATTTATAGAGAACAGACAAAATAGATTTAGCATAAACCTTCAAGGTACTAGGATTTCTAGAATGGTAAATGAATAATAGTTTAATCTTAAATTCATCAGCTACATTAGCCTCTAACAAGAGAGTTGGCCTGTCTTTTGAAGCTTGAAAGCCAGGCATTGTTTTCTCCTCTGTGAAAGTCCTAGATGACATCTTCTTCCTATATAAGGCTGCTTTGTCTACATGGGAAATCTGTTTAGTGTAGCCACCTTCATCAATGATCTTAGTTAGATCTGCTGGATAACTTGCTGCAGATTCTATATGAGCATTTGCTGCTTCACCTTGTTTTTTTATGTTATGGAGAAGGCTTCTTTCCTTCAACACTATGAACCAAGTTCTAATTTCAAACATTTCTTCTGCCGCTTCCTCACTTCTTTTAGCATTTATAGAATTGAAGAGTTAGGTCCTTGCTCTGGAGTAGGCTTTGGCTTAAAGAAATGTTGTGGCTGGTCTGATCTATCTAGACCACTAAAACTCTCTCCATATTAGAAATAAGACTGTTTCTTTTTCTTATCATTCATGTATTCACTCAAGTAGCACTTTTGATTTCCTTCAGGAACATTTTCTTTGAATTCACAATTTGGCTAACTGATGCAAGAGGGTTAGCTTTCAGTCTATCTAGATGTTTGACATGCTTTTCTCACTAAACTTAATTATTTCTAGCCTTTTCTTGAAAGTGAGAAACTTGAGACTTTTCACTTGAATACGTAGAGGCCATTGTAAGGTTATTTACTGACCCAACTTTAATATTGTTGTCTCTGAGAGAATAGGGTGGCCCAAGGACCGGGAGACAGATGGGGGAATGGCTGGTCAGTGTAGCTGTCAGAACACATACATTTACTGATTAAATTCTCCATCGTATGCAGGTATGCTTCATGGCACCCCAAAGCAATCACAATATTAACATCAAAGATCACTGATCACAGATCACCATAACAGATATAATAATAATAAAAAGTTTGAAATATTGCATGAATTACCAAAATGTTACACAGAGACATGAAGTGAGTACATGCTAGTAAAAAGATGATGACGTGACAATAGCCTTTCTCGAGGGTTTTCCCAAATGTCAAATTTATAAAAATTGAAATATCTACAAAGCACAATATTGCAAAGTGCAATAAAATGAAGTATGCCTCTATTTAAATTTTAATTACTTTAAGTAAAATTTAAAAATATATTTTTCACATACACTAGCCACATTTCATGTGCATAATAGCACAAGTGACTAATGGCTACCATATTGGACAGTTTAGAGTGAATATTTTCTCCATCACAGAGAGTTCTATTGAACAGCCCTAGTCTAGCTGCCAAATACCAAGGATGATTAGCTCTCTTCCTTCACAGAGTAACATCTAAATAAGCACGTATTTCATAGTACTATTCATTATGTAACTCCTTGAGTGTAATCTTAGAAGATATGCAATTAAAAAAGTGTTAGATTGCATTGGTTCTTAGGATTTTTAAAATATTCTAACAACGCTCCAAGTTTGTTTAAATGGATAAACTATTTTGCCTAATGTTTAATTTTGAACTTTTGTTATAATATTATTTATTTAGAAAGAGAACCCTTGTCTTATTTGGAATAAAGCTAACACTTGTGGATGGCAATATAACAATAACAAATCTTCTAAAGTAACTCACTGCAAGGATAACTTAAAGGCAGAAAAACTAGGAAAACGTTGATCTGTTCATCTGTTTCCTTTCATCTTTCTTCCCCTGAATTAATTCCCTGCATAACTAGGAAACACACAGAGATCTCATTGTACTTCTTGATTTAAAAATACATTTATTTTTATCCTTTGATTTCTCCTCCTTTACCTTCAATAAAAAAAATGAGAGTTTCAGTTAGAAGACTAATACAGTATAAGAACATCTATCTTTTCAGCAGTTAACTTCTACTTTATTTTCTCATTCTTTTCACAACCGTATGACATATTTCTACAGTTGATATAAAGTATTTTATAATGGTTGTAATAACCTCGACTTTGCTGTTTAATTATATTATGCTTATATACAATGAACTTAATTTACTAAAATAAAGTATACAAGTCTAAAATCCTCAAGGTGGAATTCAGAGATCTCCATCCAATGACCCTATCTTACTCCTTTAGCTATTTTCTTCACAGTGCCCACAAATCAAACTCTCTTCTAATCTCACTATTTAAGTTACAATTTTTCTATGGCTATACTCAAATCTGACCCATGCTGTAAACTAAAGGATGCCACCTGAAACCACACAGGAGCATGGGGTTGCTCAGGCTCCTTGCTTGCTCATTGTATCACTCTTTATTCGCTGATGTCTGGTGGGCTGCCATCTTAATATGCTGTCAATATTTGGAAACCACTATACAAACTCAAAGTTTGAGAACCCACATTTCTGTCATACATACATTCTAATGTTATGGAGAGTGAGCTACTGTTGTCATTGGTGGAGGGTTGGGTGAGATGTGCACTAATGTTTGATGGGGGAATTAGAGCATAAAAACATTTACCACCTTCTCTACAAATATCATTTATCGACTGCTAATATTTCAATAATGTGTGAATAACGACAACTTTTGCTTTTATACTTCTTTTTCTACTGTCATATTTTGTTAGGTTAAGATATTTTTAAAAGCATACAATAAAGTAAACAGAATAATAAAACCAACCACCATGTTTTTACCATTCAGCTCTATCAGAATCTAATAATGTTTCCATTATTGACCCCGATTTTGATTTTTTAGGGTTTTCTTGTTTCTTTTCTTATTTTTTTTTTTTCTTTTGCTTTAAAGAAATAGAACATTATAGACACAGTTGAAGTATCATATAAACCTTTTCCAGTATCTTTCCACTTCATCTTCAGGAAAAAAAAAAAAAAACATCTAGTCTTAATTTGGTGTTTGGCAGGTTATGTCTCATTTGAGTAGGTGACATTAAGCAAATACCTTAAGGGGGTTTGTGTAGTTATTGGATATGAAAACTTCAAAATATTTTCTCAGGTCTCTTGTCTTACAGCAGAATCATATGTTTAAACATTCTTTTATGAAAGTTTGCATCAT